CTGGCCAGCGCCCTCCTGCTGCTGGGTGAGTGAGCGCCCACCTCCACCTGGACCCTCAGACCCTCGGACCCTCCTCCCCAGGCCGCCCGCTGCTAACCAGCCACGCCCCTTCCTCCCCAGTTCGGGCTCCTTCTCCCTAACCCCGCCCCGCTCAGCACAAGACACGCCCCTTCCTCCCCGGCCCCGCCTCCTCCCCGGCCCCACTCTCATTACCAGCCACGCCCCTTCCACTCAACCCCGCCCAGTCTTTGCCAGCCACGCCCCATCCCCCAAGCCAGCCCCTCCTTACCAGCCACGCCCCCTCCTCCCCAACCCGGCTCCTCCATGCCAGACACGCCCTTTCCCAAGCTCCGCCCCCTCAACCCCTTCCCTGGTTACCAGCCATGCTCCCTTTTGCCCCGCCCCGCCCCCTCTTCCCACCTCCCTCGCAGCCCGGCCCCTGAAGTCGCGTCCTGTTCCTGGCCCCAGCCTGCGTCCCCTCATTCCCCAGTGCTAGTCCTGCTCGTGGCACTCCGGGCACGGTTCCGGCAGCAGTCGCGGGGCAAGGGGCTGCTGCACGGCCCCCAGGACGACCTTCGAGACAATGTCCTCAACTACGATGAGCAGGGAGGCGGGGAGGAGGACCAGGTGAGGGGGCAGGCGTGGGTGGGGAGGGGTCCCCAAGGAACCCAGGTCGCGGGCCTTCATACAACAAGCTGGCCAGGAGCCTCTACCTGAGACCTCCACCAGGGCCACCCGAGGGATGCCTGGCTCTGTTCCACGTCCTCGCCCACAGGACGCCTATGACATCAGCCAGCTGCGTCACCCGACAGCGCTGAGCCTGCCTCTGGGGCCGCCGCCACTTCGCAGAGATGCCCCACAGAGCCGCCTGCACCCGCAGCCACCCCGAGCGCTGCCCACCAGCCCCCTGGACATCGCCGACTTCATCAGTGATGTAGGTGCTCCTGGGGGACACCCCAGTCACACTGGCACGCACAGGTGCACACACATATGCACATTTACACACCTGCACATGCATGCACTTATGTACCACCCAAGGACACCGCACAGCAAGATGATGTGTGGGCGGGAGTGTGGAAGCCCCACTGCCACCGTCCGAACTGGGCCCTCAGCTTCCACCCACCATGCAGGTCTTTGCATGAATGGAGTGGCGGTGGCCACAGACCCATCCACTGCCCTGTGTCCACCGTGGAGTGGGTGGGGGAGCCCCGGGAGCACCCCTTGGGCTTTGGTGGCTCTCAGTGGAATCAAGGCCTCCCTAGGAGCCCCTCTGGACGCAGTGTTAATGATTCCCTGCGGTCCACAGGGTGAACATGAACATGGGAAATCTGGGGTGGGGGCTGCACAGGGAACCCTCCTCTGCACCTGTAGCACCTGACTCGGAGAAAGCCCTCAGCGAAGGTGTACACCCCCAGTTAGGAGCGTGCATGTCCCCATGAGCTAAGAGGACAGACGTGCAGACAGAGCCTCCAAAAGGCAGGCGGGCCGTCCTGTGGATGGAGGTGTCCGGGAGGTTCAGGTTCTGCCTTGAGTGGACAGAGGCCGCCGGGATGAGGAGACCAGGGTGATGGGGAGCAACCCCTTCCCACCTTGCTGGGGCAGGGCAGAGCCCTGGGGGACGGGCTGGCCGCTGGCCTAATCCTGAGGAAGGGGCAGTCCACGGCCCCCTCTTCATGGTCCTGCTGCTGTGCCCTCAGGACGCTTTGCCCTCAGGTCTGCTGTGCCCCTCAGACCTCACCCCAGACATAGGCAGCTTCCCCTTCCTGAGCCTCTGCCTTAAGCTGACTTCGCCCTAGGCTGTGGCCATGGCGGTGGGGCACCTGCTGGCCCCTCCGTGCATCCTGAGCTCTCCTGGCCTCTTTGCAGGGTTTGGAGGCTGCAGATAGTGACCCCAGTGTGCCGCCTTACGACACAGCCCTCATCTATGACTACGAGGGTGATGGCTCGGTGGCGGGGACCCTGAGCTCCATCTTGTCCAGCCAGGGCGATGAGGACCAAGACTACGACTACCTCAGGGACTGGGGGCCCCGCTTCGCCCGGCTGGCAGACATGTACGGGAACCCATGAGGGTCGGAGCAAGGGGCCAGATGGGACCACGGGGCCAGGGAGGGTCTTTCTCCCAGGGCACCTCTACCCAGACACAGAGGCCGGACAGCCTGACCCTGGGGCACAACTGGACACGCCACTCCCCGGCCGCGTGGCAGCGATGGCCCCTGCAGAGGCAGCCTGAGGTCACCGGGCCTGACTCCCACGGGCCTGGGGCAGCCTCCTTCCTGCAGGCGAGGGCCCAAGTCTGGGGGCAGAACCTGAGTGTGGATGGGGCAGCCAGGAAGAGGACCCTTCCTGCCGGGGTGGGAAAAGTTTCTCTCCTTCGGCCCCATGGGGGTCACCCCCCTAGTCCCACCTTTGCCTCCTACCAGTGGATCTCATCTTTGTACGAAAGACAGAAACCTCCTGGGTAAATCTGAATGAAAACCGTGCTAGTCTCTCTCATGTGGGGCGGGCGCCCAGTGCCACACTGACCATGAAGGGGATGGGGCCAGTGAGGCCTGGCCTGGCAGAGACCTGAGAGCTGGGCCCCCATCCCACCCTGCTTGGCTGGGGCAGGGGGCGACCGGGGGCTGCCACTACCTGGACAGGGACTATGGAGCAGCTGCTGACACCCTGGCTCCTCACTAGTGAGCCCAGAGGTGGGGAGCAGGCACAGGTGAGGCCCCTCCAGGCCCCAGGTGTGGCCTGAGGGAAAAACCAGGGAACCAGTTCCATGGAAGCCTTTATCCTCCACACCTGCTGGGTGTGGCCAGGGAGGAGACCCAGGGCCTCCCAGTGCCTGGGGCCTGGCTGAGGACACCTTCATGCTGTCCCCATGGCTCCACCTGCACTGAGACACGGGCTTCTGAGGCGAATGTGTCTCCCCTGGACCAGATGTCTGGGTTACTCAGTCATGCTCCAGGTCTTGACCTCGGTCCCATTCTGGCTCCCAGGGCCACCAGGCAGGACTAGCGCTGCTCGGGGGTGTGGCCAGCCCAGCAGGAGTCGGAGGGCGACAGCAGGGGCAGGTGGTCCTGGCGGGGGCAGCCCCGCAGGAGTGGGGAGCGACACAGGCGGTCGGCGTCCTGCAGGGACTGCGGCAGCCCTCGGCCTCGGCTCTCAGGCAGCAGCAGGACACACAGCAGGGCAAGGACAGCAAGGGAGGCGAAGACGATGTGTTGCAGAAAGAAGCCGTGTCGGCCGTGCAGGGCATCCAGGGGGTCAGCTGCCTGGCCCAGGAACCCGGCCCCCAGCACTAGGCCCAGCCCGGCCCCCCTGTGGGAGAGAGTGCGTTGGGGGCAGCTGGTGGGGCAACAGATCTGGGGACATGCACGTGACTCCAGAGTGAGCGGCAGGAAGGCCCGGCCTCCGCAGAGCCTGAGGTTTGCTGGCTGAGGATAATTTGAAAAATTGTTTTGGGAAAACCTCTTTCTCGTCCTGGAGCACTTTTTCCTCTGTTCATTATAAGACTGGAAAGTGACCGGGCGCGGTGGCTCACGCCTGTAATCCCAGCACTTTGGGAGGCTGAGGTGGGTGGATCACGAGATCAGGAGATCGAGACCATCCTGGCTATCATGGTGAAACCCTGTCTCTACTAAAAATACAAAAATTAGCTGTGCACGGTGGCACGTGCCTGTAATCCCAGCTACTCGGGAGGCTGAGGCAGGAGAATCGCTTGGACCAGAGTTGGAGGTTGCAGCGAGCTGAGATCGTACAACTGCACTCCAGCCTGGTGACAGAGCGAGACTCCATCTCAAAAAAAAAAAAAGATTGGAAAGTGATGGTTTCCCCTGGAATTCTGCCATTGCTGGAGGCTTCCTCATCTCACGCCCAGGCTGCACACCCCGCTTCAGGCCTGCATGGCCTTCCCTCCCCTTCCCAGTTCCTGAGTCATCTGCCCAGAGCCTTCTGTGGGCAGTGGCCCCCGCCATCCAGGAGCAGGGGGCTCCAGTGCTTCACCTCGAGTCCTTACTGAATGGAGGAATCACAGGCAGGAACCTGAGTGGGGTGTGGGGACAGGGCCTCCTGTCCACCTGGGCCCTCCTCCCCAGGGGGAGCCCTGGACCCTGCTGTGTGGCCGGGCAGCCCTGAAGCTCACCTGATCACCGTGGGGAAGACCTCAGCTGCAAAGAGGCTGCTGAGTGCAGACACAGCCCTGGAAGCCAGGAGCCCCAGGACAGAGAGGGACAGCATGGTCCAGCCTGGCAGATCTGAGGACAAAGGATAGGGGTTCCCAGCCTTTCCCCCAAGGCCTTCCACCCTGGCCACTCAAGGCCCCTCCCCAGAAAACCACACTGCTTGTCTGGCGACCCACTTCCCAGGCCTCCTTCTCCAGCCCCTCTGAGAAACCTGGCAGGGGAACCTGTCCTCTGCAGCCTGATTCCAGCCTGGCTTGGATTCTAAGGATATTAGAATCCTGACCCCAAGTCACAGCCACACCGACCACCTCCACCCAAGCCTGCGCTCAGCTACTGCTGTGCTGTCTACTGTCTTCGCAATTTCGAGAACCATCCTAAAATCTTGAATACTTTGGAAGCAAGGCCTGCATTTCATTTTGCACCCAGCTCCACACACCATGTGGCCGGCCCTGAGTATATGGGCCCTCCCACGCCAGCCCATGGCCGGCCTCGGCCACCTGGAACTCTGGGAAGAGCTTTACCCAGCCTGGTCTCCCGACCTCTCATGCCTGTGCTGCATTCTGTGGCTGGGGCAGGTGTTTTAGGCTCAGACAGGCTCCTTCCTTTAGGCCAGTCACAAAAGCACCTTTTGGACCTTCCAAAAGGATCAGAGGAAAACAAACAGCAGCTGGCCTTGGGCCGCCGCCCCAGCCTGCTCCCCCATCAGCACTATGGCCCCCTGGTGGGGCAGACCCTCAGCCCAAACACAATGGCCCCTGTATGGCCTGCGGGGCCCCAAGCTCACACTGGGCCCCGGCGAGGAGCAGCAGGGATGCCAGGCCTGTGGCCATGGTGCCCAGCAGCAGGACGGGGCGGCGTCCACAGCGATCTGCGGTCAGGAGCAGGAAGACCAAGGCTGCCGCCTCCAGGCCGGCCTCCACGAAGTAGGGCAGGTAGAAGGTCGGCACCTGAGGTGCCAGGCTGCGGCGGAAGCTGGCTCTGATGCCTTCACCAACCAGCCTGGGAGAGAGGGCAAAGCTATGGGCCCAGCCAGAGCTGGGGACTCTGGGGACCACACACCCACCCCCGGGGGAATGTGCAGGACCCCAGCCCTTCCTCAACTCACGAGCTGAAGCCCAAGATAAGTCCATTTCTCCAGGTGACTTGGGTGCGCAGGAGCCCCAGCGGGGACTGGTACTGGGGCTGGGGGCTCCCCGCAGACAGCATGGCCAGCTCTGTAGTCACAGAGACGTGAAGGGAGGGCGGTGACGAGCAGTGCGTCTCCAAAGCCCTCCTCCAGTACCCGAATCTCCCTCCTCCCTGGTAGGCGCCTGACCTGTAACCAGGGAGCTCTCCTCCAAGGAACTGTCCTCGGGGTCCACGCCGCTGGCTTCTGCAAAGTGCCATAGGATCTTTCTGGCTCGAGCTACCTGACGTGTGGCCAGCAGCCAGCAGGGAGACTCAGGGAACAGGGCCGGGAACCTGCAGGGTTGGTGAGGATGCCCACGGCTCCCTCCACCTCCTCCTGGAAGGAGAGGCAGAGGCCAGGGCCCCCACCCTACCCCTAGGCTTGGGGCAGGACATCACTGTGGTTCTCTGTGACCCTGTGACCCAGCCACTTACCTGGTGTGGGAGGGAAATTACACACTCAGCCCCCATGGGGGCTGCTGTCCCAGCTCCCACCACACTTACCCCCAAAAGAGCAGCAAGAGTCCACTCATCAGGGCGCCCAGCCCCTGCAGAAGACGCCAGTCCTGCACAAGCGCAGCCAGGCCGGGCAGCAGCAGGGTGCCTGCCACTGAGAAAAGGCCAGCCCCCATGGAGAAGGCCAGGCGGTGCGGAGGGTCACACAACTCCAGGCCTGGGCAGACACAGACAGGCCGAGGTGGAGGCCTCGGGGAGGAATGGAACAGTTCCATGGGGAACTGCGGTGACCCTATCGGTGACCTGCCCAGGAGCGGGATGCCCAAGGGGGACTCACTGCTCACCGTCCCTGCAGCTCAGGGCGCTCGGCAAGGGAGCCTCAGAGGCCTGCGGGCCACCCACTGCCCCTCCCCCAGTATCAGCAGCCCCCATGGTACTCACGAGCCAGGTACAGGGCGAGGAGGGCCCCTGCCAATGTCCCCCCGTGGAGTAGGCGCAGGACCAGCAGGGTAGGGAAGCTGGCAGCCAGGGCCTCACTGGCCCCCAGGCCTGTGGCCAGCATCAGGGAGGCCACAAAAACTGTCCGGCGGCCAAACCTGGTGGGCAGTGGGGGACATGCTTGGACAGTGTCAGGATAATGCAGGGTCCAACCTTCATCCTGGCAGCACCAGGTCTAGCTGAACCCTGAGAGCAGGCGGAGGGCAGGGCTACTGGGCAGCAGGAAAAGAGAAGGGGCCTCACCGGTCACAGCCTGCTCCCAGGACGACACAGCCCAGCAGCCAGCCCAGGAGGTGGCTCACCTGCTCCAGCGGGACCTTCCAGCCGTCTCCACACACGAGGTTCCACTGTGGGGAACAGCAGCCACGTGGAGGCCAGCTCAGGACCCTCCCCTGTCTCCTCGCCGGGAACAGGTGCAAGGAGTCCCAGAATGGCTACGGGAAGGGGCCCTCCATGTCCTGCTCAATCCGTCCATGGAGAGAAGGGGAAACTGAGGCATGAGAGGACAAGGGGCTTGGTCCCAGTCACACAGCAGCCTCTCTGGACTCTGGCACTCCCTGCAAAGGGTTCGGGGGGCATCTGCCCACCCTGTTTTCTGCTTGTCCCTAGATAGGGCCTCCCCACTTTTGTACACCATTGCTCTCCCTCCAACGTGGGGCCGAATCTTGTCCCACCTGTTTCCACCTCCTATTCCGAGGGACCCAAGGGACGGCCACGGTGGCGTCATAGACACAGCCCCCATCCCACCCGGCCAAGGGTCATAGCCATGATGCAGGCCTAAGAAATGAGCCCCAGCACCTGCGCTGGTGCCCACGCCCTCCCTGCCCTGCCCATTTCAAGAGGGACTCGGGCAGCCGCTGGAGAGCTGTGCTCAGCTGCATTTCCCGGTGAGGCCCTTGACCCTTGACCTCAGCTCTGCGCCTCCCCCCACCCCTTCCAGTTCCTGGGTCTTCTTGCCAAGCTTAATCTACTGCTGGGGGCGGTGCTATGCCCGAGGTTCTACTTTCAAACCTGACGTTTTGTGAAAGCTGATGGGGCATTCCTGGATCCAGGAGCCAAACAGGAGGGCAGGTGGGAGGTGGGAGCGAGCGCGGTGGAGAGAGAAGCCCGGCGGGTTCCAGGGCCCCAGGCAGCCCTTGCGGAGATGTGGCAACCCCGTCCCAGTTTCCACAATGGGGCCAGTCCTCCCAGGTGGGGGGTGGGGGCCGCGGGGTAAAGGCTGCCGCAGCGGTGGGCAGGTCTCAGCCCCAGCGTGGAAAGGGATGAAAGGGGCCTGGAGGTCCCTGCCCCCCGCCTCCCCATCTCTTCTCGCGCAGACCGTCAAGGTTTCCCTTCAGGCAATGCTGCCTCCAGCCCAGCCTCCGCGCTCCTCGCCGATGGGAAGCCCACCTTTCCTAGTCTGTGCTGACCACCTCAGTCCCTCCGAGCAGACTCTGCCTTGGCAAGCCAGCCCAAAGCCACGGTCTGCTCCAGACGCTGGCGGTCGTGAGGCAGATTCCAGGCCCTGCTCCCCCACCGGTGCGGGCCGCCCTCGCCGTCAGCTCCAGTCCTCCTGA